CTGGAAGAGTTGTTTTCCACGCATGGGGAACAGCAGGTGCAATGCCCTGTCACAGGATGCTTAGTGAGTTTAAGGAACATCAGGAACGAATGAAAGAAAGTAGAAGCTGAGGGGCTGGGGGCTGGGGGTACAGAGGAAGCACATCATGTAGGGCCTTGTAGGCCATTATAAGAACTTTGGGGCCGGGCACGATGGCTCACACCTGTATTTCCAGCACTTTGGGAGGCCAAGACAGGTGGATCACTTGAGATCATGAGTTCAAGACCAACCTGGCCAACATGGTGAAACTCCGTCTCTACCCAAAATATATAAAAAAATTAGGTGTTGACAGAGCAAGACTTGGTCTCAAAACAAAAAAGTTAGTCAATGTCATGGCGTGTGCCTGTAATCCCAGCTACTTGAGAGACTGAGGCAGGAGACTCGCTTGAACCCAGGTGGCAGAGGTTACAGTGAGCCGAGAGCATACCACTGCATTCCAGCTTGGGCGACAGAGCAAGACTCTGTCTCAAAAAAAAAAGGAATTTTGGCTTTTACTCTGGGTGAGATGGATTTGGGAGAGGAGTGACATAATATGGCCTTAAGTTTCTATGGGATCATGCTAACTGCTGTGTTAAGAATAGTCTGGTGTGGAGGTGGGAGGGGTAGAGTGAAAACAACAACAACCAGTTAGAAGGATATCGCGGTAATCCAAGGATTACCAAAGTGGTAGCAGTGAAGAGGGTTAGTTAGAAGCAGGTGGATTCTGGATGTAGTTTGAAGATAAGGCATGTTTGCAAATAATAATTCTAATATTTGCCATAAAGGAATATAAGCAAGGTGGTATAAAAAGTCAAAGGTGGGATCTTATCTGGTAAGAAATTAGACTTTGGAAGGTTTGAACTAGACTTCTGACAAATAGATATGATTTGGACTTCTTTCAGCAGCTATTAAGTGGGTGGTTTCCTTTTCAATATAGGATTGCATTCAGGCTATCCATAGAATGCCTACAATTTCAAATATCAGAAAGGAAAATTAAAATGGAAGGTTTTACAGTAACAAATATGCTCTTCAGAGTATTGTGTGTTGCCTTGTGAACTTTATGCTTTCTAGGAGAAATTTAGTACAAATATTAAGGTTTATGACTTGTCATTATGATACCTTTGGCTAAAACAGGGTACAAACTCATCCCAAATCACAATGCTGTTTTTGTGTTTTGTCAAAGACAAAGTACCTGTCACAAAATGTTAACACCTTGCATTACTTGGGGAAGATTGTTGGAAATAGATGCTCAATGCCATAAAGAAAAATTAGCACTGGAACAAAGGATCTTTCAGCAACGCAGTTTTTACTTCCCAGACTGCAGGAAGGGTACCCTCACTAGCCATCGTGCCACAAGAGTGCAGTGAACAAAGGAAAACAGACACATTTGTCCCTTGCGCATTTGGGAGCGTCCTTATTGCTGTCTCTGATCTCCGTTGGCTGAAGCCAGACCTCACAATCTAAACTAAAACCCGATTGGCTCACAACTTAAAACTTTTTTGAACAGGTAAAAGCAGTGGAAAGCTGGGACATGCCTGTGAGCACGTCCAGCACAGATATCTTGGTTAAAGTACAAGAACGTAGAATGTACTACGTGCCTGTAAGCATGGCATGTCTAACAGCTGCATAGGACAGGGCTTAACAAAGTTATTAGCACACTTACAATTTAACAAGAAAGGAAACTTTCAAAAGGAACTTTTCTCTTTACCACAAAGATGAAAATAATTACCCTGGCCAGTTGTGGTGACATGCCCCTGTAATCCCAGTGCTTTGAAAGGCCAAGGCGGGAGGATCACCTGAGACCAGGATTTTGGGATCTGCCTGGGTGCCAGAGCAAGATCTTATTTCAAAAAATAAATTTTAAAAAAAGAAAATAATTTCCCAACTGAATACTGTCAGCCTACTAAAAATTATATAAAAGTTTGAAGTGACAGGTGAGACACTGTATACCAGAGGCTAAATAGGTCATGTCAAAATAATCATCCTTCAGAGAGAAATCTGTTAACATGGGAAATGAAAGAAAAGCCAAGGAAATGTACTTGACCTTTTTTAATGACTTGTACCTGAGATAACAGGAATATGCTATCAGGGCTGCATGCCTCACGGCTCTTGGAGGAATTGTACAACACAGTAGCAGCCACCCCCGTACATAATGTGAACAGCACCTAACTTGGAACCACATGGCTTGAGTTTCAGGGCCAGGCTTTCTTCTTGAAAGATAGTGTTGAATACTTTTAATATAATGGATTACATTTCTTGAGCTGTTGGCCCAGCACAATTCTAAGCACTTTTCATATTCACTCATTTGGTTCTCTAAATATCACTTAGCATCATTTTAAAGAGAAGAAATATGTAGCTGAGAAAGATTAAAACATCTTTTCTCAAGTCACAGAGTAAATTAAGTGGCTGAGCTAAGATTCTAACCCCATCAGCCAGCTTGAGAGCCTGTTAACCATCACACCTTACTGGCCACTTCTTGTTCACATTGAGAGGATTTTCCAGGTTGTAGTGTGTGGTACAAATAAAGGTAATCATGAATAAGATATTGTATCTTGCCCTCAGCTGACTGTTACAATGTCAACTGAAAGGTCAGACTTTAAAAGTGAAAATTTGCAATCTCTGTACTGCTCTGGAAATCTTTCTGGCACTGTTCTTTTGTCAGGCTACATATATATGACTTTCCGTGTCTGTTCTTTTTGGTTATTAAGGACAAAGCTCTTTGATGCTCTGAACTCATGATGAAACAAAATAGTCCAATAAATTAAGAAGTAAAGAATAAAGGATTTAGTAGTCAGTGTCATAATAACCAGTTTTGTGAATCCTCCAAAAATACGAACACCACCCAAAAATTATGCCAACACATGGAGAAAAGAGCTGGTTCTTAAATAATTTATGTATGATGTTTTAAGCAGGTAACAATCTACCAGAATAAATAATAGCAATTGTAAGGTATTTCAATTTTTGTTTCTTTACTAGAAACAGAATATTACTAGTTGGAGTTTAAAGGGAAAGCAGTGAGGTTTTTAATGTCTTTTTAGATATTGATTTATGTTTGTTAGAATGTACTTTAAATAGAGTGCCAAATAATACATATTTTCTACCATATTATGTAGAAATGAGAAACTGTAATACCTGGATTTTTTTTTCAACATTCAGTTTTTAAGGGTCTTTTACTAGAGTCTCATTTATAGTTTCTGGTTTTGAAGGAAAGGTTTACAGGGTGTATTGCTGCTCTGCCCCCACCTTTTTTCTGACACAGTCTCACTTTGTCACCCAGGCTGGAGTGCAGTGGCACGATTGCTCACTGTAGCCTTAACCTCCCAGGTTCAAGTGATCCTCCTACCTCAGCCCCCAAGTAGCTGGGACTACAGGCTTGTGCCACTATGCCCAGCTAATTTTTATATTCTTTTGTAGAGACAGAGTTTCACCATGTTGCCCAGGCGGGTCTCAAACTCCTGGACTCAAACAATTCACCCACCTTGGCCTCCTAAAGTGCTGGGATTACAGGCATGAGCCAGGGCACCCAGCCAGTGTTTCTGCTTATTTACAGTCTTTAAAACTCAAATTAACACTGTATTTCTTCATCCTGACTTCCCTGTTAATCAACAAAAGCACTTTGCCCCACCAAGCCTCATGTTGAAATTTGATCCCCAGTGTTAGAGGTGAATCCTGGTGGGAGGTGTTTGGATCCTGGTGGTGGATGCCTCATGAATGGCCCAGTGCCCTTCTCCCGAGAGCCAGTGAGCTCTCACTCTTAGTTCACTGAGAATTTGTTGTTGAAAAGAACCTGGCACCTCCTCACTCACTTTTTCTCTCTCTCTCCCTCTCTCTCCCCACTCGCTCTCTGTCTCCCTCTCCCCCTCCCTTCCTCCCTTCCCTTTTTCCTTACTTCACCATGTGATCTGCATATGCTGGCTCCCCCTCTGTCTTGAGTGGAAGCACCTAAGGCAGAAAATTGGTACTTAAGAGTGGGATGTTGATATAAAGAGACTCGGAAGCAGCTTTGGAACTGGGTAATGGGCAGAGGCTGAAAGAGCTTGGAGGACTCAAAAAACAAGAAGATAAAAGAATGTTTGGAATGTCTTAGAGATTGGTTAAGTGATTGTGCTGATAGAAATAGAGACAGTAAAGGCCATGCTGAGGAGAGCTAAGGTGGAAACGGGGTCTTACTGAGAACTTGAGCAAACATCACCGTTGTTACACTGTAGCAAAGAACTTGGCTGCACTGCCTCCATGCCCTAGGGCTTTGTGGAAGGCCAAACTTAAGTTATGACCTAGAGTATCTGGTATAAGAAATATCTAAGCAGCAGAGAGTTCAAGAAGTGGCACGGCTGCTTTTAATAGCTTACAATCAAATATGGGAGGAAAGAAATGACCTGAAGTTGGAATTTATAATTAAAAGTAAAGCAGAGCATAAAAATATGGAAATACTTGCAGCCTGGCCTTGTGTAAAGAAGGAAAGAGCATTTTCAGAAGAATCCAGTTAGTTCAGATAAAAGGGAACCAGGTGCTAATAGCCAAGACAATGGGGAAAAGTCCCTCAAGACATTTCCGAAATCTCCTAAGCTGTCCCTCTCATCACAAGTCCAGAAGCCTAGAAGACCAAGAATGGTTTCCATGGTCAAAGCCTTGGGTGCAACTGTTGTGTGCCACCTTGGAACGTGCTCCCTGCATCCCGGTTGCTCCAGCTCCAGCTCTGTTTCAGAGGGCTCCAGGTACTGCTCAGGCTGCAAGCTGTCGCCTTTGCAGATTCTGTGTGTTGCAGGACACAGAATACAAGAGTGGCAGAAGCTTGGCAGCTCCCACCTAGATTTTAGAGGGTGTATCAGAAGGCCTGGGTGTCACAGAAATATTCTGCTAGGACAGTGCCAAGCAGAAATGTGGTGTTGGAGCTCTGATGGAGAGTCTCCACTGGAGTGTTAACTAGTAGAGCTATGGGAACAAGGTTGCCATGGGGACCACAGAATTGCAGAGCCACTGGCAGTATGCACTTTCATCCTGGAAAAGCCACAGGCATTTGACTCCAACTCATGAGAGCAGCCGCATGAGCTGCACCCAGGAAAGCCATGGGGCTGGGACTGCCCAAAGCCTTGGGAGCCCACCCCTCACACCACTGTGCCCAGGATGCAGGACATGCTCAAAGCAGGTTTGGGAACTTTAAGCTTAATGTCTGCCCTGATGGGTTTCTGAGTCTCATGGGGCCTCTCACCCTTCTCTTGGCCAATTTCTTCCTTTGGAAAACAGCATGTATCCAATGACTGTTCCATCATTGTATCTTGGAAGTAAATAACTTTGTTTTTTATTTTATAGGCTTATAGCTTTAAGGAACTTGCCTTGAGTCTCAGATGAGACTTTGGACTTTTAAGTTGGTGCTGGAACAAAACAAGACTTGGGGACTATTGGGATGGAATAATTGTATTTTGAATGTGAGAAGGACATCAGATTTGAGAAGCGAGGAGTGGAAGGCTGTGGTTTGGATGGGGTTTGTTTGGCCCCACCAAGTCTCTTGTCAAAATTTGATCTGCATTGTTGGAGATGGGGCCTGGTGAGAGGTGTTTGGATCGGGGGTAGGAGCAGGGCCGGGAGGGGCCAGTTGGAGGGGCCAGTTTGAGGGGCGAGAGGTAGGGATCTCATGAATGGCTCAGTGTCTTTCTCCCAAGAATGAGTGAGTTTTCACTCAGTTTCTGACAGAACTGGTTGTTGAAAAGAGCCTGGCTCTCCTCCTCTATATCTGTCTGTCTGTCTGTCTATCTATCTATCTATCTATCTATCTATCTATCTATCTATCTATCCTCTCTATCTACCTACCTAGCTAGTACCTGGCTCTCCTCCTCTCTATGTATCTATCTATTTTATCTACCTACCTACCTACCTGTCTGTCTGTCTGTCTTCCCCACACCCACCCTCCCTCACACACTGGCTCCTCTTCCACCATGAGTGGAGGCAGCTGGAGGCCATTGCAGATTCTCACACTGCTTCATGTACAGCCTGTAGAACCATGAGCCAAATAAACCTCTTTTCTTTATAAATGACTCAGCCTGGGGTACTTCTTTACAGCAATACAAACAGACTAAGATAAGCACAATACAGTTCTGTTGTCTAGATTTATAATTACTAAATATATATATCTCTGTCCTTGCTGAAAATGAGGTGCAGAGTAATTTTATAAACCGTTGTATACATGGGAAAATAGCCATTCTTACTGAATTACAAACACTTTATATTTGTGATACTATACATGATTGTGAATTAAATTTTCTATTTCAAAATAAATATGTCTCTAAGCTATTGAAAACAGATTAATGTTATGTATTACAGAAAACAAAGGTTAAATTGGGTTTTAACTTTGCCTAAATTTTTAATGTTGCTGATAATAAACTTTATTCATTTTTCCTTTCAAAACAGTTGTTGGAAATGCAGATAAATTCAGAACTGTTGTTTTATCTGTAACTGATGCTACCAGTTATTTTAAGTGTCTGAATAATTACCTGGTTTCTCTAGGATTTCTGCTTCCTACACTTTATACTCTCCAAAATACTGCAATTTTTAAATTGTTTTTTCTTGTTGAAAACATAATACATTTCCTTTTCTCCAGGAAAATTCAAATACTAAAAAATTAAAACTATCAATTTTTTTTTTTTTTTTGAGACAGAGTCTTACTCTGTCACCCAGGCTGGAATGCAGGGGTGAGATCTCAGCTTACTGCAGCCTCTGCCTCCTGGGTTCAAGAGATTCTCTCGCCTCAGCCACCCTAGTAACTGGGATTACAGGCATGCGCCACCACATGCGGCTAATTTTTTGTATTTTTAGTGGAGATGGGGTTTCGCCATGTCGGCCAGACTGGTCTTGAACTCCTGACCTCAAGTGATCCACCTGCCTCAGCCTCCCAAAGTGTTGGGATTATAGACATGAGCCACCACGCCCAGCCAAAACTATCAATAATTATTTTTTAACAGAGAGCAATAGCATAACTGAAGTGGAAAGAGTTGCAAAAACTTAGAGAAAACCTAACCTCAGCCCTTACCTGGTACCCTTTTCCCAGCTCCTGCCTCTGCTTGTTAACTTCATACTGCAAGACACAGTGCCTGAAATTTTCACCTTGTTGGATTAATTCCTTTGGTTAGGCTATACTTCTCAAGCTGATTTTTCATGCAAATATTCCTCATTCAAACCTACCTTTTAGATTTAGAGGCAAAGGAAACTATAGACGTGTAGGGGTATAACCAAAAGAGGATGTGGCTTGAGACATCCAAATATTTGTGTACTTTGTATTTAAAACTCTAGGAAGTTTTGTAATATTTCCTGATACTGGTATAGTAACAGTGATGTATATTTTCCAAGAACATCTGCCATGTTTGTCATGCATCTTTGTATACTCTTTGTCACAGAGCTGAGTATCATACTTAAGAAGCAGAGAGTTAGAATTTTTTCTGTGTTTTATTCATTTAGAAAATATTCAGTGACATTCTGCTTTATGCCAGACACTGTGCTGGAACACGTTCCCATTTTCATGGGTTTGCAGTAGTACAGACGCAAAAATTATTTGCCATGAGGCTTAAGTACAGCAGTACCAAAGTAGAGATACTATTCAGGGAGATATAGTGATGGACCATCTTGAGATCAGATACAGAATCCTGAAATAGGTTTGTCTGAGCTGAATTTTAGAGGATCATAAGTCTTCAAAGTATTTTGTTAAAATACATTTTTAAGTTAAAAACATATGGTGAGCCTGTGTCAAAAATGTATTTAATAATGAAGTTAACAGCAAGATGGTAAAAGCTGGTTCAGAGTAGTATAGGAGAGACCAAAGTCAGTGAAAGAGAAACCAATGAAATAGGCTTGCAAAGTTAGCTCAGAACTGATTATTGGGATTTCCACTTACATGGCCAAGATAGACTAACAAGGACCCTCTCACCTTAATTTCAAAAAAAAAGAAGAAATGGACTAAATATATGAAACAATGGTTTCAGGACTTTTGAGCATCAGGTAATGGGCAGTAATCCCTGAGAAGCAACATACAAATATGGTGAGGCTGTTGCCCCACTGTATTGTCTAGAGAGTCTCCAGGCATGGCCTTGGAAAGAAAAACCCAAGTAAAGCCTGATGGCCTCCCTGAATTGAGGACATGGAGCTAGAAACCCAAGAAGGTCAAGGCAGCTAGGACAGAGTACTAGAAAGTAAATAGCTTCACAGAAAGCAAGGACTCCGAAGATGTACAAAGGGTCTCACTTCAGCCTACAGCTGAATACTGATTGATGGCTGGTGAGTTCACTGCCCTAGGCTGGGGAAAGAACTACCAAAAAGAATTAGAGGAGGGTCCAGGTGCATTGGCTCACGCCAGTAATCCAGACACTTTGGGAGGCCTGTGTGGGTGGATCACTTAAGGTCAGGAGTTTGAAACCAGCTTGACCAACATGGTGAAAACCTGTCTCTACTAAAAATACAAAAATTAGCCACATGTGGTGGCAGGCACCTGTAATCCCAGCTACTCAGGAGGCTGAGGCAGGAGAATTGCATGAACCCAGGAGACTTGAGATTGCAGTGAGCTGAGATCACACCACTACTCCAGCCTGGATAACAGAGTGAGACTCTGTCTGAAAAAAAAAAAAAAAAAGAATTAGAGCATACTGACTTGAGACTTTCTCAAGCAGAGGTGATAAGAAAATTATACATCAGATTTCTCTGGAGAGTAAATTGCTGGATTTTCATCTTTATTGGATAATATCAAATCATTTCCCAAAGTGTTGTGCCAGTTTACACTCCCACTCACAGTGTCTAAATGTTCTCTGTTCTGCATCCTCAATAACACTTGATTTAGAAAATTTTTTATGCATGGACTCAAAAAGGAAAATGTTTTACTGATCTGCAAGATGTTAAATGTTACCTCATTTTAATTATTTCTTTGATTTCTAACTGAACATATTTTCATGTGTTTAATAATCATAACTGTTCTTCCATGAAAAAAGTGTAAGAATTAAAGGAAACAATTTTCTGAGCTAAACCAGGACCAGGGATAATTCTCATTCTTACCATACAGAATGGAAACCCTCCTAATTCATAGGGCATTGGGTAAAGTACTCAGAAAGTTTTTGACTCTGTAATGGGACAAAATTAACTAGAGATTAAATGCAGCTCTTGTACCGCCTAACAGCAAGACCTAAGGATCAAGCTGTTTCCGGATAACTACCTCCCAGGACAATGCTCAGTAATATTTATTACTTTTTAAACTTTTTCTCACCATCTGTCTAACCAAATGAATTCAATAGTATTTAAAATAATATAAAAGCATCTGGCTCCAAATTCACAATATTCTGCATCCATTCAGAAGTAACCAGGCATGCAAAGCAGCAGAATGTAACCTATAATTGAGAAGATAAATCCATTCATTGAGACTAACCCAGAAATAAAACTTGAAATTAGTAGGCAGGATATTATAACAATTATTACAGCTGTATTTTGTATGTTCAAAATGCTACAAAAAAGATTGAGCAAATTGAGCAAAGACATGGAGAATATGTTTAAAAGATTAAAAGACACAGATACTGAAGAAAAGATTCGCAAACTTGAAGACATATCAGTAGAAACAATTCAAACTCAAACAGTGAAAAAAATAAATACAACAATGGGGAATAGGACACCTTCACTTGGACTAATATCCATAAAATTAGAGTCCCCAAAGAGAGTAGGGACACACAAATGTTTGAAGAGATAATGGCCAGAAATTTTCCGAATTTGTTGAAAGCTATAAATCTACAGATTCCAGAATCCCAATGAAACCTAAGGAAAAGAAGCATGAAAAATCTACACCAAGAGAAACAAAGATAACAGTGACATCAGATGCCTCATTGGAAACAATACAAGCAAGATGATAGTCTAGAAACATCTTTTTAATTTATTTTTTTTTTGTTTTAGAGACACAGGCTGTTATGTTTTTGCCCACGCTGGTCATGAACTGAGTTCAAGCAGTCCTTCCGTCTTAGACTCCCAAATAGCTAGGACTACAGGTGCATGCCACTGTACCCAAGAAACATATTTAAACATATTGAAAGAAAAAAATAACTGTCAACTTATAATTCTCTACCCAGCAAAAATATCTTTCAGATATGAAGGTGCAAGGGAGACTAGTTCAGACATAACCAGAAATGA